AGGCCCCCAATCAGAATTCCCGGGGAAAGCGACCCCGAGCTTCTCCAAAGCTCCCAGATGACTGGGAAGCCCAGGTAGGTTTGGGAACTGCTGTGTACGCGATCAGTGTAGACGACTCCTTCCCTCCTCGCCCTTCTGCCTTGCTCGCAAAGCTCCTGGCGGCCTGAGGGTCCTTCAGCTCCAGACTCGCCAGATCCAGCCCAGCCGCGGCATCAACTGGTCCACCTCCATAAGCGCTCAGGCCTGCGAGTCCGGGGCTGCCCCCGTTCACACTCCCTTCCTCGAGAGATGTGTAGCTGGAGCCGTTAGACCAACAACCACTCCCTTCTAGTGCTTAGTTCTGGAGCTTGGCAGGTGGTGATTATTATTATGTATTTAAATTTTAAGGAAAAAATGTCAGTAACATCCTTTAGAAGGGAGCCCGGTTGTGCAAATCTGCAGTGTGGCCCACAGTCCACCAGAGGGCGCGCACGGCTCACACCGCGTTTGCAGCGTCGCTTCGCCCCAGTCTGCGCTAAGGCCCGATCCAGGGGGACTGCAAAGCACGTCCCGGAGCCCCTGGTTCTCATCCTCAGGGCTCAGTGAAGAATCTGCCAAATATTTAAAAGCCAGGACTGGGTAGGCCCCATGGCGCAGTGGTTAAAGCCCTGTGCATAGGGCGCCAGATCCCACATGGCCTGCCACTGGCCTGCAGCAGTTGGAATCTCAGCCCCAGCTGCGTGAAAAACCAGGGCATGTGTAAGTAAGACCCAGTTCCTGATGCGGTGGAGGGAAGGAGGGAAAAGGATTGGGGTGTGACCGTGTCCCATGGAGGGAGGTACTTTCTCTCTCGTTCTCTCTCTTCCTCTCTCTAGTGAGTGCACCCACCCTCTGGCAATTTTTTTAAAAAAAGTCATGATTCCCCCATCTCTACAATGACGACAAATGTGACCCTTGAGACAATGTCACACTTGTGAACAAAGGAAGAAAAGGGGTTGAGGCCCTCCCAGAGCCTTTGGATTTGGTAAGTTGCTTTTGTTTGTTTTTTTTAAATATATAAGATCTATTCACTTAATTTTATTTACTACTATTATTATTAAATTCACTATGGGGCACACACACTCACCAGAGAGAGAGAACATGAGAAAGCAAGCTACCAGGTCCGGGACTCAAACTGCAGTCAGTCATGTGGGAGTCCAGTGCCTTAACCACCATGCCACCTGCTGGCCCCTGATTGGGTAAGTTTTAAACCCAAAGCATTATCTATAGAGTGAAATTGCAGGATGAAATCCCCCACCAAAGTATGGGGAATTATTTTAGACGGCAGTGAGAATTTCCAGCTCAGACGCTGTGAATTTCCAAACACCAGCAGCCATCCCAGTCCCTCCCCCAGGACCCTCCCTCCCACAGAGGAGGCTGAGTATTGAAGCTCCCGTAGGGCTGGCTGGCTGCAGAGCCCGACAGGCCACAGCAAGAGGACCGAGTGGGACATAGGGCAGGGCGGCTGAGAGGAGTGTTGGGAAATCCTGCAGGTAACAGGGAGGATGGCGCCTGCCAACCCTCCCCAGGGCTCATGGAGTGTGCACTCTCGGGTCAGGGGACAGCTTTCCAAGTGTCACGCAGGCAAGGCAAGAGGGCTGCTGCCAGAAATCCGTCCTGCCACCGTCCAGCTGGGTGACACCACGTCACAACTCCACTTCCCTGAGCGTCCATGTCCTCACTCCTCACGTGTAAGATGGTGTGGGAGGGGCCTGGCTCTCTGTCACCAGTCAGCTTCTCAGAGAAAAACACAGTTCCCTGAGATTTCTTTTTTTCTAACCTAAGCTCTGCCCATAGGCAAAGTTTAAAGCTTCCCCTGCAGGCCATGACCCTCTGGGCCTCCCCTTAAATCTAACTTTCTTAAAGCACGTTGCCCTTAGGGGTCAAGGTACTCCCACTATCACAGAACTTTTTTTGGAGGGGGAGGTATAAAAGTGTATTTATTTATTTTCTCCATGAAACACACAGACACACACACACACACACACACACACACAGAGACAGAGAGAGAGAGAGAGGCTCCTCCACCAGTCTTGACATGGAGATCCACTCCCACTTCAGCCAGCCTGGAATCCGGGCCTGTGAGCGCCCAGTGTGTTCCGGGAGGCCTCTGGGTGTGAACCCAGAACTTTCCCACGTCAGTCAGCCCTCATGGAGCATCAAGTTCTCCTGCTACACCACCGTCCGCCTCCCTGCCCTTCTAAGTTTATTTATTTGTTTATTCCATGAGAGAGACAGAGAAAGAGGCACCCCACTGGGTCTTCATGCCACAATCAGCCGCCAGCCTCAGCCAGCCCGGTCACGGCCCGTGTGTCCAGTGTGCGCGAGGAGGCCCTGGGACGAAACCAGGCCCTTCCCACATGGGTCAAGTGCATTCACACCGCACCCCTGGCTGGCCTGGTGTAACTACTCCTTGTGATAAAGGCCGTTAATCAAGGGAACACCTCCATGCTGTGTAGTTTCCCGGCCATGCGAAAAAAAGCTTGTAGGAATACAGTCGTGATCCGAAGCCGTTTTCGTCCCAGTCCCGGTGATCTGGTCACTAATCTGTGAGCGTGGACCCCGCCTCCGGCCTCCTGAAGTCACTCTGCATCTTGGTTCTGTCATGCACAGTGGGTGGTGAGATTGTGCCCTTTAGTCTTGAAAGAGTCCTTGGTTGGGACCAGCAGATGGCATAATGGCTATGTCTCTGGACCCCACACAGTTGACCATGGTTCAAGTCCTAGACGCAGCAGCTTGAAACTCACGCAGAGGGTGTGTGTGTGCCCAAAATCCTGAGAGGAGAATGGAGAAGGGACTGGGGCATGGCCATCCCCTCCGGGAGGTGATTTCTCACTTTCTGTCTCTCCACCTCGTGCACGGGCCCTGTGGCAAAAATCTCTCTAAAGAAGAAGGAAGAGTCCTTGGCAGTTATTTGCACGCTGTCCACCACGAAAGACCCTCGGTTTCATCCATCTGTTCACAGCACTCTGCGGGGCGGCCCACCCGCTCTAAACCCACCAACGAGCTACGAAACCACCATGGTTCTCCCTCTTGTCCCCCTCGAGGCCGTGAAAATATTTCAAGTTTCTTCTGTTCTTAAAATTGAGAACCAAAACACACTCAGAGCTTTAATGGTGTCACGTTTCCACAGTGTAAGCAGTGACCGCTCAGCGGAAGTGCGGAACTCGGCTATAGCCAGAGAACCGCTAGGAGCTGTGCGTGTGCGCTGGGAGGATGCCAGCCAAAGTCTTTCCCCTTTTTCTTTGCTACAGAGTGTGCGCACTCACTGGGGAGGTGGGGTGGGGAGAAGTGAGAAATCCCCCCCAGGGGGGATGGACACACTGCAATCCCTTCTCCGTTATTCTCCTTAGGGATTTTGAACACGAAAGCACATGTGCCTGATGTGTTTTTCCTCTGTGTCTGGGACTTGAACCGTGCAGCTGGACACATAGAATCCAGCCACTTTCATCTTCACATCACCAGCTGGCGCCCAGAAATCTTTTTAAAGTTTATTTATTTTTTCCATGACAGACAGGAAGAGAGAGGGAGACGCCGGCACCCACAACTTCTGGCCCAGTAAACCCAAGTCGTGCTGGTGGACGGGAGAGGAAAGTGGGCTTATACGTGTTCTTAAAATTCAGGATTAGGAGTATATTATTTTCATCATTTAAAAAAGTGCTAACCAGAGCGTACATCATCCCTTGCAAGCACACCTCCTTCCTCCCGGCCCCCCAGACTCCTCTGCTCTCCCAGGGGACGGGTGGATCTCCTGTGAGGACCGAGACGGCGCTCCCTGCCAGCTCAGTGGAATGGCGAGCTTCATTTTGTTTTTCTTCTTCTCTCTTTTTTAAATTTGTCAGAGGGTGCATGTACTTGCCAGAGAGAGATTGAGAGACAGAGAGAGAGAAGAGGAGAAAGCAACCCCTCTGGGGCATGGTCACACCACAATCCCTTCTCTGCCATTCTAACCTGTCTAGGTTTGGGGCGCACGCATGCATGAGCACACACCTGGTATGGTTTTCAAGCTGCCGGGGCCAGGATTCAAACTGGGGTTGGTTATGTGGGATCAAGCTTTCTCAACCTTGAGGCCACAGGGCCGGACTACAAGAGTCATTTGGTTTGATTTCTTGCAAATAGCTGCCCTGCACCCCTACCCCACCCCCAGCCCAGTGGCTCTTTTGCTCCTGAGAGTCAGATTCACAGCAGGCCTGGAGCATAATCCTGGGGCTGGAAAATCAAAGTGTGACTCCTCCTTCCTTCTGTGTTCCAGAAATCTTCATAGCATTTGCAGGTGACAGGCACTGCAGATGAGTGGGGACACAGGGACGGAAGAAACAGCCCTCACCCAGGAGCTCATCGGTAAGGCACACAGGCAGGTGAGCAGCGGGTGGCTGAGGGCGTGTGGGAGACAGCAGCACCCGGACTGGGGCAGGAGGAAGGGACAGACGAGGCCTGGCACCTGGGGCCCTTTTGTGACATGCTGGCTTCTCTCTGAGCACCTCTGGAGGTCTGTGGTTGCTAATGGCACGCATCAGAGGTTTAATGGGGAATCATCGGGAAATGTTCAAATTGGACTAAATTGATGTCATTATGTCAAACTCCTCCACGCCCTCTGTTCCTAGCTGGGTAACTCTGCTTCCCCCCACTCCCCAGCCCCGGCCCCTCCTGTCGTTCAATCCCTAACGTGACACCTGCCCGTTCCGAGATGTGCTGTTCACGAGGGGTTCACGTTGATGAGGCCCTCTGGGAGGTGGGGGGATGAACCAGGTCACCGGTAAGAAGGGCAAAAGAAGAAAGCATGGAGATGAAATGGAACAAGACTGAACCCCCGTCCTGGGGGCCCGCTATGCTCAGCAGGCCTCGGACACCCTCAGAGGACCCTCGGACTGGGCGCTTGGGACGTAGCCATTGGTCTTCAGCTCCAGGTCCCAAATGGAAAGGCAGTAGAGGAGCATCGTGTCCGTGTCCGAGGAACCTTCCTGTCGCTTACGTAACGGGGGCTGGGAACGGTGCGGCTCCTTCAGCAGCTCTCCAGCCACGAGGGAAAGGGCAGAGAACAGGCAGGAGTTGTCTGGCACCGTCCTTCGTGGTCGCCCTGCATCTCTGGGCGAGAGAGCGAATTAATAAGTCAGGAGTTAGGACCCAGAGGTGCGTGGTGGACGTACAGGATCTGACAGCTGGTGGAGATCGATGAAGTGCACTTTAAGAAACATCGCACTGAAGCGAGATGGTTCGAGACTATTTCCTCCCACTCCGGGTGTTCCGTTTCCCCAAGGGTTCCACTTGGAACTGCGTTTTCCTTTCCACACTCCTCTTTTCAATGGAAACTCTGTGCTGTTGAGAGGGAAGAAATCGTCCTTCTGAAACGGGCACGATGAAGCTTCCAGATCTGATGCCGGTGCTTTTCGCCCTTGGCGTCTCTCCCTCAGGTAAGATTCCGTGAAATCAATGGACCCTGGCAGTAGAATTTCTTAAGCAAAGGAGGCAAAACTGTGGGGTGGATGATGTTAAAGGGCCAGCTGTCATACACGGAAATCTTTAGGATAGTCCTTAAGGTGTGGCTGGAATGAGTAGTTTTATGAACTCTCTATATTGCTAAAGAAATCATATCTATGGATTCCACCACGTTGATGGTTTGCCATTTATTGCATTACTCCTTTTGAATAATTACGAGTGTGGTAGGAGGATATAAAAGCAAGAAAAAGGTTATTAAATGAACTGTCACTCACAGAGTTCTTCAAACGTCTGGCACAGAAATGTACGGTGCCAACCTTTTTCTGTCGTATTTACTCATAATTATTGTGCATAATAGAAGATATTTAATTTTGCACACTATCCCCTATACACTTACACGAACACTTTAATAAACTTGCGTGCACTTAGTATGAGTGTCACAACTAAACAAAGATATGTACCAAGTGCCTGTGAATGCGTGTGCGTGTGTTTTGTGTGACTATTAACCAGCTGAAAATAGAAGACTTATTGGTAAGAAAGAGGATGATTGAAAGGAAAGAGAGAGAGAGAGAGAAAGAGAAAATACTGAAAAGTTTAGAAGACAGTGCTCGTCGGCACTGACCCGTTTTCTGGTTTGGGGACCATTTCTCCTGTGATGGAACTTAAGAGCAGAACGCTTTTCCCATCAGCCTGAACCCCTGTGAGGCCGGGAGCTATGTGGTGAGGAAGGTGCCTTCCATTAGCGGTTTGGATCGTCTTTCTCAGGGTAATTTTGCAGCATCCCATTATCGCAGTTTTCACGTGGAGAACTGAGGCATGAGATCAAGAAGCCCATGTCCAGAAATAAAGTGACGTTGGAACATTTCTGCACCTGAAAAAACAGCCTTTCTTTATTCTGGGGACTCTGAATCAGTCGTGCTAACAGAGCACTGACCCCCTTTCAAGTATCGCGAAACTTGGTCCCTAAAAGTCTTCCATGTACTTTGCCAACCATACAAATCAGAAGTCACTTCTGTGTGTTCTAGCAATCAGCACCCACGTGGCTGTTGTTTTCCTGTCTGCATTCTTTAGGGTATTCTATTTACTATGAAGGAATCAATTCTTATCATTCTTTGCCCAGGGGAATGGTCTCACTGGTTGGCCCGGGCATTAAGCACAAACCTTCGTCCCACTCTGCACAGTCCCGTGTGCACCATGACTGGCTAAGACAACAGGAGCTGGCAGAGAAGCCGTGACCTGGCCTCCACTGTGTAGACCGCCAGTTCAGAAGTGTATCCTGAACTGTCTGCATCTCTTGCAGATCTAAAAGAAACCCAACGTAATAAATCTTACATCTGCAAATATTTCGAGACCCATAGAAGTCTGCTTACATTTTTAGATCTGTGCCACCTTTTAAGCTCTCTAACCTTATTACTCATTGTAAAGAAAGTAATTCTCTTTTTAATCACACAAAACGTTTTTCAAATGACAAGGGGCAGCCCTTTCATTCTGTATTTCTGGCTTGGCAGAAAGCATCATTGCGTACGGCCACGCGACTTCGCTTAGGCTGCTAATTCACGTTTGTGTGTTTGTTCTGCTCCCAGAAAACAAAGTCTGTGTCTTATTTCTCTTTCCTTCACTTTTTCTACATAATGTTATGAGCTTAATGTTGCTCAGTAAAGATTTATTAAGCAGTTGGGATCTGCAGATGGTGGAATGGTTATGTCGCTGGACTCCCATGTAGTCGACTATGGTTCAAGTCTTGGATCCAGTGGCTTAAAACATGCCAAGCGCATGTGCATGTGTGCCCAAGATCCCCAGAGGAGACCTGAGGAGAAGGGATTGTGTCCGACAAGAAGAAACATGGTCAAAATGAAGAGGCCAAAAGGGCAAGTCTTCCTTAAAGGAGATGTCTGTGCACGGTGTTACTGAGTGCTCCACTCTGGGGTAGAGCCCTCCCCTCCGCACAGGGAGCGAGCCCCCTCAGTCCTGACAGCCTTACCCCCTTCCCCTCGGAGTTCTGTCCTTGCAATAAACAGTAGCTACCAGGGAGGGACTGCATTCAATTGATGAAACCCTGGCTCTTTTCTGCATCAGCACCGGGAATAACTGGCATTCCAGGCCACACTTTGTGATTGTTTCATGGACACAAAGACCCCGAATGCACTGGACATGTGGACCGCTGGGGACCTTCCTGATCATCCACTCCCCGGTTCTCCTGGAGAGGGCGAATGCCTCACTCAGAATCACACAGGCTGAATCAGGACCGGAGCCCCCACCCCTGAGTCCGAGGCCAGCGCCTCTGGATGTTCAATAAGCAGGTGCCGGGTCCTTGTCCTGAAGTGGCGAGTCCGGCAAAGGCTGCAGCATTCCAAGCCAAGAGCCCTGTGCCCTCCGGGGGCCCTTCTGAAGCTGAGGAGCCCCCCAGTGCTGGGCACAGACCAGGGAACCGTGTCCTGGCTCCCCTCCGTCTCCCAGCCCAGCCTGCCTGCCTGCTCTCTTCTCCCTCTGCCTGCACAGTTGCCTGTCGGACCTCAGGGAAACTTTTTTGACACAGAAAAACAAGACTGATGAGGGAGAGGCAAGCAAAGGAGAATACAGGGACTCGGGGAGCAACAAGTCCTATTCTTGGGGCCAGCAAGTGGCATGGTGGATATGGCACAGGATCCCATATGGCCACTGGCGTGGTTGAGCCCAGACCCAGGGGGACCGTGCCGGGTGTGTGTGTGTGCGTGTTCAAAATCCCTAGAGAAGAATGAAGAAGAAATTGCAGCGTGGCTATCCTTCCTAGGGGGTGATTTTTCACTTTCCCTCTCTCTGTTTCTGTCCAGTCAGTGCATGGAGAATGGCAAAAAATCTTAGACAAACAAACAAAAAACACCCCTTCTAACCAAAAGAAGTAGTAAAAAATCTAAAGGCAGTAAAGACCCTCTGCGTATGTGTGCTAGACTCGTGTGTGTGTGTGTGTGTGTGTGTGTGTGTGTGTGTGTGCAATGCAGGACTTGGAGGAAGCTATGTGGAGAGCCTTGGCCAGCTCCGCAGCAGGAAGGCGCCCTCCTGTAGAGCACTGGGTGCCCCCGCCCCAGGAGAGTGAGCCCAGAGTGGCGCCCACCAAGGAGGTCCTGACCAGCACACGTGTGCCAGGCGCCAGGAGGTGAGCCAGGCCCAAAGACACTCTCACAATGCTACCTATCACCCCAACACCAAACCGATGTGATTAATTTCTTTACACGAAATTTTTATTGCGTAATTTCTGACTTAGATATTGTTGTATTGGGTCGTGGGCAAAGTCATGATGCATTAATGTGTCATGTTTTTAAAGCATGTATGTGTATCAAGGGTATAAGCGTGTTCGCCATCTCCCATTTAACATTATGTTACGTCATGTGCATGAGACGTTCGCCCCACGGCGTCGAAGGGCTCAGTCATCAGCGACGTTCTCTGCTGCGGTCCGGCTCCGTCCCTGCTCCCCCTGCGTCCATGCGCTCTGTGTCTTCCCACCAAGTTCTCCCATCTTCTGACTCCAGTCCAGCTTCTGCAATAGTATCGACCGTTTCTCTCCTTTTCTTTTTTAAAGAATTATTATTTCATGGTGTGTTTTATATTTGTTATTATTATTATTATTATTATTATTATTATATTTTTAATTTGACCAGAAGGAGAAAGAAAGGGAAAGTAAGAATGCAATTCCCCCAGGCCCAGGACTCGAACACAGTCGACCATGTGGGAGTCCAATGCCTTAGCCACCACGCTACCTGCCGGCCTCCAGCCATTTCTCTATTTTCATACTGTCAAGTCCGTTAGCTTCCACTAAGAAGTGGGCTGTGTTAAGGGGGACATCCAGTATTTGGCTTTCATCGCCTGATTTATTCCACTCAGCACTAAAGCAGACTAGGTTCAACTCTGACGTTACGCTGGCCTGGCCTGAGAGCATCATTCTTCCAGGCGGCGGTTGGCTAACGACAAAACAACCAAAACAGCAATAAGGACGAGTCCACACTTGTGGAGGTGAAAGGCTGAAACCGTTGTATGTGCTGCAGAAAAGACTACGGTGGAGACAACAGTCGTTTACACTCCTCTCCCCCGAGCCCTCCCACAGTTACGGGCTGATGGGAAGATCGCTGACTTGGCAGTCGGAAGGTCGCACCTGCTGCTCATGTGTGTGGTCACCCAGGAGAAGTCATTCCCTGGGTCATTCTCAGTACCCTGGCGTCCACCTGACAGACAAGGGTCAAGGTGACCTGGGAGGTCTTTTCCATAATCCTAGACTCCATCAGCTCGCTTTTCCTTCCTCTTTAATTGATGCAGAAATTGAGAAATACTAGGTTCCCAGAGATGCGCCTGCAGGAGGGCCACTCCTCTTCCAAGAGCACTTTCCTAGACCAGCCCCGTAGGCTGGTGACTGAGGAAGCTGGATCTCACATGGCTGATCACGTGGTTCAAATCCCAACCCTGGGAGCTGGAGAGACATTCTGGCCGCATGTGTGTGTGCCCCAAATCGCAGCAGGATAGAGAAGTGGAGGAGAAGGGATTTGGCATGACTACATCCCATGGGGAGGGGGCTTTTTCCTCCCTCTTTCTCTTTCTCTGTTGAGGACATGTGCCCTCTGACTGATTTTTTTTAAATGAGCAGGTTTTGGGCTTGTCGATGGATCTCTGAGATGTGTCTTAGAACACTGGTCTTACCTAATTAATTTAAAATTTAAGTCAATTGGCAAAAATGTGACCTGTGTGTAACTTCTCAGGAACTCCTTTAATCCTGAAAGCAAGGACCACTCGTCCTGGAAATTCTGAGGTCTGTGACGTGACATCCTCAGGAACAGCGAGCCCCTCCGCCGTCTTCTCCCGTGGCTTAGAAAGCACCTGTTACGGCCTCTGGTTCATTTGTTCATCCACTTGTTTATTCATCAGACATCATCAAATATTTATCAAGGCCCTGATCACGAAGAATCAGCCATGAGAAGCATTTGCCCTCCGCATAATGTTCTGTTTTATG